AACTTACAAGGTTCTAATCCTAATAACACCTCAACTTTCTCCAATGATATGTTTTTTTAATTAGATTTATATTGATTAATTAGAGTTAAATTTATTAATGATACAAACATTTAGAGATTCTTTATAAATTAAATTTATTTTTGATTGATTTTCCTTTTTTGCATTTGACAGTCGTGCGTTCTGCGTCTACTTGTTCCACGTTTTATTAATAAGTTTTTAATATTTCATTTTTCAATTTAGTTACAAGTAAGTTTAAACATGGTTGCTTGATTTACGTTTTTTCTTTGTAAAATCTTTTAGCAATAAAATGCTCTGAAGAAGATTGTAATTTAGCAATCGAAATATTAGCGATTTTAAAAAGTTGTTTACTTTTAATTCCTGCTTACAGAAAATCCGAATAAATTTTTTCTATTTGTGGTTTGAGACCCCAGTTCCTTCTTAGGAGCCTGCGGCAGATCTGGTTTGCCATGATGGCCTTTTTCCTCACCTTATCTAAGTGTGAGTTCCAGTTTAGATACAACTGCTAACGTAGCAACCAAGCCAGAAGACAATGAATCAAAATTGGAGTGCTCAAAAATGTTAAAAAACCAAAAATATAAAGATATAAACTAAAACATGTTAGATTGAACACAAAATATGTTAGACATCTTTCAGCAGACTCATCATCTATCTATATTATTCTTAATGACCATAATTATCATCCCCAATCACTCTCCACATCGCTATTATTACTCATCAATGTTTTTTTAAAATATATCTTGTAATATTGTCCTTGATATCTTACAATATTGTTTCTAATTATTCTACGGCAATCCTAAATAACTTATTGGACACCTCACCACTATTTATTTTGCTCGAAACGGATAAGGTTAACGTCACAATATTATATTAACGCCAAAACTAGAAAGTTCTGGAAATGATTGCCATATTCAACTTCTCGGTGTGATTGCATGAAATGGGTTCGGAACCAAAGTTGTTCCGTTGCTCAATAACTTCGTTATCAATATATCATAAGCAATGGTTCTAATATCTAACTAGCTTTTAATCTATATATTACGATGTTTCTGGAAATTGTTCACCACACCTGCATTGAAAATATTGGAAACATACAGAGACATGAATTAGACGTGAAATAATAGTATATTAAAAAACAAGTTTCGTAAGATACGGTTGAAATGCACGAATTCAAATTGAAAAAGTAACCAACGAGTTTTTTAATGAATGAGTGCTTTAAGTTTTATGAAACGTACTTTTTATGCTATTTTTGTAATTTGCGTTTTTATCCTTTGTTTTTAACAAAAATAAAATAAACTTTGACAATGCCAATGTAAGGAAATGGGTATGTAGGCTATCTAAGCAGTTGGTAACACCGTAATACTTGAATATAGAAATTTGAATTGACAATTAGAAACTGTCAAAACACAAAATGTATTCACCTGAAAAAAATGTTTCATGTACACCTCCCAAAATAAGAGAAATGACTCACAGTTCAATGTCGTCATCATTTTGGACCTTGTATTCGATGCTAAGAACGCGTTTAAACATCCATAGACAAAAACTGTCACATTGACAACTAGAAAAATTAATGACCCAATGTCACCAACTTGAACTGGTTCCATAAAATGTTACTAAAATCTCATTACTGATGGACTTTCTTGAATAATTAAACGAACTTTATGGCTTTTGCGGGAATTTTATTTTTGCCAATTTTAAAGCAGAATCTTGTACATCTTGTATATGACAAAATCGTGAACAACAACAACAACTTTTTTATATTAAAATATACGTTGATCAAAATAATTATCAATTAAATTATTCTAACACCCTCCCTCAACGTTTATACTGAATATTCTAATTAAATTAATCCTAAACCTTTCCTAAACTTCCTAAGTTTTATTTTATCTAACGGTTTAGTCAGTATATCAGCTATCATATCTTCACTAGGTAAATATTTTATATTTATTTTATTTTTATTTACTAAATCCCTTATATAATGGTATTTCGTATCTATGTGCTTAGTTCTTTTCTTTAACTGGTCATTTTTGGTAAGTTTTATGCAACTTTGATTATCCTCGAAGATTATCGGTGTTACATTAACGCCTATTTCTGATAATAATCTCGTGTACCATTCAAGCTCTGTAGTTAATTCAGTTAGCGCAACATATTCCGCCTCAGTAGACGATAAGCTTACGCATTTTTGTTTTGTGCTGCTCCAAGTTATTAAATTGCCATTTAAGAATACACAATATCCACTATTTGATTTCCTATCAATTAAATTCGATCCCCAATCTGCATCCACATATGCAATTAGGTGATCCGTTGATTGATCTGGGCTTGATTTTATTTGTAATTTTAAATCAATGGTATTTTTCAAATATCTAAATACTCGTTGCACTTCTATCCAATCCCTTTTCATTGGATTCGTCACTTTCTGTGCTAAAATAGATACTGAAGCAGAAATATCTGGTCGAGTATTATTTGCAATATACAGTAAAGCTCCAATTGCACTTCTGTACTGTTTTTCGTCAAATTTTTCGCTTCCGGTTAAATCATCTTTTCTATCATAGTCTCCATGTATA